CTTTAGTGGGTGTAAATGCAGGGACATCTCGCAAATTTGGGGAAGATATTGCTGAACTCATATGGAAGTCACGTGGTGAAATAAATAATAACAGAGACACTTTAGAAAAACCTAATTCACTATATGACTACCAGTGTGCATTTCCGCAAATACTCACCAGTTTTTTTCTCGGACTTGTATCAACTCTCTTTAAAAAACGGTTGGAGGTTAAGAATCGGAAAAAAACCCCAGCAACATGTGAGGTTTCCCTGAAAATACCGAATAAAATTTCAAGGATGACTGTCTTCTTGTCATCAATAATTTTGGCAACTTCATTTAAGAAGTTGAAACTCCTTTCCGTACACTCTTTGGCATCTGTATGTCAAAAACCAAAACTATTGCCATCCCTGCGGTCTTTTTTGGAATCTGTTAATGCTATTTTGCATACAAGTCGTCATGAACACCGATTATGGAGACGTCGAATGCAAGCTGCAGATCCCGTTACACAACTCCAAACTGACCCGTTTATGTGGAATGTATGCGTAATTGATAATGTTGATTTGAGAGAGGCAACCTATAAATATGGCAATATATATGATGTTGCTGGCAAATCATTTCATGCAACATTACGCATGATTTTTCAATTCAAACTTCCAATAAGAATAAGCTCAATTCCGAATAGAAAAACCAGCCTTAACAACCAGGATCGTTTATTTGGTGAAAATAATCAAACTAAGGCTTGGTTTCAAGAAGTGAATAACACTTTCAAGGCTCTAGTTTCAAACAATAATTCAAGCAGTTTCAATATGGATGAAACTAATAAAGAGCTTGCAGAAAGCATACCAATTGGCTGTAGGATTGAAAAACCAAACGTTGTTATTCTGGGGGCTGGGGATAGCCCATCAAGTAATGAGAGCATCTTCACAACATGTCTGGCATATTTTAAGGATCTAAAAATAATAAAAAGAGGACATCTGGACATTTGGGCAGATCAAGCGATTCATCAGCGGCTGATAAAATTTAACAACAAGAGCACACACGGACAATTACAATTGCGAGTTGGTTTAGGACAATGGCACACATCGAATGTTATGTGCACTGCGCTCATTCTTATGTTTTCCAGCTATGGAATTTATAATTGTGCATATGAACTTGGAGTGACATATCTGGAAAAATTTGAGTACAATTCCGATTATCGTGCAACTTGCAGAATATTGGAAATGATCTGGGCGTCTACGGGTATAGCACTCCATAATTACCTCACGCAAAAGGGATTGACCCTGGGACAATTAATAACGCGAGGAGATAATAAATTAGCTAAAGTGTGGGCATTATATTTCAAATGGGCCAGCTTCTGGAAAGGACATAAAATAGGAATTCGAAGGGGGAATTCTGATATGCAATTTTCTAACTTAGCTGCATTTGCTCCTCTATTTCCATGTGCTGGGAGAGTCAATTATTTCAAGTCTGTCACTCATTTTCTTGCTGAGTATAAATGTTATCCTCAGCTCCAGGAACTTTTACGGCATGCCTGTTCTGTCAACATCACACAAGAAGGCCATTATTTAGCTTTTGATGAGGCGCTGGAGTTTTTCGGAGTCAAATTTGTGAAACAAAACTTGAAAAACAGGATAATCGATGAGGAAGACCTTAAACAGCAAATAAAAGCTGTTCAATCAGAGAGGGCAAGGACAGACTTATTGTTCTCTATATTTAATGATGATAATAACAATATCGCTTCAAAAAGTGCACATACAGTTAATAATCGGTCTAAAGCTGTTGAAAAGCTTGCAAAAAAAATGCTAAAAGCATTTAATTCTCAATCTCCAGAAGAACATAGCCTATTTATAGGATGTACCCAACTTACTCCAACTGGCTATAATAACATTTTTGATAGCTATAGGGAGGGGTTAGATTGTCTACAAGACTTCTACAATCAAGAGATTATTGAGATAGAAGAAATTGACACAACAGGAAGGGCACATCGTTCAGTTGTAGTAACTCACTCCAAAGATATAGTACGTGCATTAACATCTAAAATGCAAAGAGAGATTTTGAGGGTCTTTATTAGGCACACATGGGTGACCCCTGATTTACTGTGCTTTTACTACCTAAAAAGACTTGGCTGACACCATACGGTGTCAGTACATATTACATATACATAAATAAATAAATTATAAAAATACATAAGGACTTATAATTATATATATGTCCCACTTCTGTTATCTATCTATGATTATCTCCCATAAACCTGAGCATCAGCAGAGGAAACTAGCCACTAGTAAAAACCTAAGCTGTACTTTATGTTTGACTAAAATAGTGGTGTGTGGGAATATTAGTATTAATGTGAGCTATGTAGAGGCCAGGTCGCTTGCTGATCTTCCCCGATTGATTTGGTTGGTGGGAGGGAAAAACGGATTGGTAGGTTCGATCAGCTTGCTATGGGCCAGGTTCATTTACCTGGACACTCCACATCGTCACTCATATGTCCTGGAGCCTTGCATGCAGTACAGAAGGGGGGTATTGCAACAATAGCCTCTGTTGCTTGATCCTCCAGTATCCAATTGCTTCCCCTTTTCTTCCGATTCTGTTGCCATCGACGTAGGTACGGCTGGAACTTTGGGTGGCTCATTACCCTCCCCATGTCGAATTGGCCTCCAAAAAATGGGCAGGTCTCCCCATTATGGCCTTCTCTCCAACAGAGAGCGCAGAGGTTTAAGTCCAGGATGTACTTTTCGACCTCCTCTTTCGATGGCTTCCAGCAATCTTCTTTTGCCATGCGTTTTTTGCCTTTCTTTGGGGTAACCGGACCCTCCACAGTGAACGGTGGTGGTGTGGTTGCCCTTAGTACAGCTGGCAGTTCAACTCCCTCCATGTCCGCTCTTTGAAACTGGTTGGTTCCCTCCCTGAGCAGTGTCGGAGTAGCCTCCAGGGCACGTGCCTCCAGACTGGAGCCCGATCCTGAGGCTGTGGTAGCTGAGAACTGCTGTGCCACTGCGGCAAGGCCAACTGTGGCTGGTGTGGCTTGATTTCCTTTTGGGGGTGTGGGGGCCTTGGATTTATCCGGGGAGGCCGTGGAAATTTCCGGCCCCTTTTCCTTCCCTTTTTGGGTTTGTCCTTCCTTGCCGATCCTTTTTTCAGGGTCAAGCTGTTCCCCAACTTTAGGATTTTTTCCAGGGCACAAGGAGGTGGAGTGCCCAGCAACTAGGCAGCGCAGGCAAGCCTTTGGGGCTGAATTCCATGTCGCTAGGATGGTGTAGGAGCCCAAAGTGAACACTGGTTCAGCCTTGAGTTTCTTTGCCTCCTTAGGGAGCTTAAGGAGCAGGTCCCAGCGTTTTGTAAGCCAGGGTTTGCCTGGGAACTTGTGTGGAGCAGCATCGATTACTTCCCCAAACTGAGTCCAGTGTTCGATGAGGGCTTGTTTGATTGCATCTTCGTTAGCAATAGGGACATTTGCCATCTTCACTAACAAAACTTTGGAGCTCCGGTGTCTAGGCAGTATTCCATAGAAAGGTTTCCTGCCTTCGACCTGGAAGGGGGTTGTGGTGGCCTTATTAACAGTGTCTTCATCGAGGCAGATGAACTCGACAGTCTTCAAGTCCAGTCTGGGTACCACTCCGATTACACTATTGGGCATGACATTTGCTATGACATTTGCTATCTCTAGCTGAGTAGCATCTGTGGAGTCTAGATTAACGAAAAAAGAGAATTCTTCGTTAGTATTAGGTATCTGCTTTGTGGGCAGATAGGGAAGGTTTTTGAGCGCACACTTTGTTGACCCAAAGTATGCATTCTCAGTGGCTTTTTTAGCCTTTTCAGAATACAAAAAGGCTTTTTTAGGTACAGGTTGGGCCGTAGAGGCCATTTCTGCCCTTTATTTTGCTGTTTCTCTACTAGTTAAAAGACTATCTTTCAGCGAAGGTTTGGTTTGTGGCGCAGTAAAATTTGGGAGCAGAGAAAAGAGTGAAAAGATCGTCTCGTAATCATACTGAGAGTGATGCTCTCTTGTACGAGAGGGATAAATCTGGGAGCGGAATATGCTCCCTGCTTTCCTAGAAAGAACAGAATTCCAATCGCATGCCCAATGAATTTTAGTTGATGAGGCCTATACTTTAATTAGACGAGTTAACATTACTTACTGTAAACGGACTACGACTAATACATATCAGGCTTATTTATGCGTGTAAATATTTAGGTGATGGCTTTTTTGGGCAAATGTGCTGACAATGTGGTGGGTAGGATCAAAGTCTGTATTGGCGCACGAAAACGGACTGCCTTTTTTGGGTTGAAGGTTTGCAATGAAGAGTTTAAATTGTCACACAATTTACAGGTTATGTTAATATTGATTGATTCTTGTTTTTCCCATAGCAATACAATGAAGAGAACATGAGGTTATCAAGTAATACAAGACTTTTTTTTTTTTGGAAGGAAGAATAAAAAGAGAAAAAAAGGTATCATTCAAAAGCAATTGCTAATCTTGAAAACTGTGGCTTTGTTATTAATAAAATTGATTGTCTTTAAATTTGATTATATTAGTATTGTTGTACCTCAGTTGGGGACCTGTCTCAGTTCTGGACTGAGAACTCACACAGCAGCCCACCCCAAAATTCCACTGCTGATCCATAAATCATTTCCAGAAATTGACATGTGGAATTTCTGACTCTATGAGGCCATTTCGGATGTTACACATACTGAGTCATGTGAAGAAGTTGACTAAATAGCTGTCTTATACTTGCACATTCTTCATTATCATTGATTCTAGTTTGATTTTCATTGTTTTCTCTTGCCCTGAATCAAACATATTTCGACCATTGTGAACTTGTTACCTCTTATTCTTCTTGAATTCAGGCAATCTAAATCCACACCCACTTAATAGAGTACATTCCCAAAAAAACTCAAAGTTTTTCTGCAAGAGAAGTAGAAAGACAAAGTAGTTAAGAGATTGATAAATGTCTGTCCAAATGTAAGAATTGATTATATAATTCCTCTGCATAACAATAATAAAGTATTCTTTGAATCCAATGATGCTAATTTATTTTTATTCTTTCATTTATTCTAAGAACATTATCCATGGTTTAGAATCTTCTAGCCCATTTGTGTTTTCCTTTTACTTCATGGATGTCACTCATAATATTATTAATTCAGTTTGTATTATCTAGTAGAGTGTGAACATGTCAATAATTTCCCTGTTCGAATTCTATTGTTACATGAACCAAAAAATCCTCTTACATTTGGCAGCTGTCTAATATCAATCTCAGAAGATTCAGAAACTGTATCATTTCCTGTGGTTTCTTGCAAACAAATCATATCTATGCTGTTTTCTGTTCAACTTCTCCATGATTGTCTTCTATGAAACTAATAAATGGATGTTCCCAGCACCTTCTGATTTCATTGTAGATTAATTGTTTGGAGCACCCAGCAGCAATTACCAAATGTTTACACAGAAGGAACTGGCTTTGCAGAAAACTGGGACAACTACACACCCATAGAACATCTGATGTATAATAGTTTTCCCCAGAGTTAGAAGAAAGGTTTTTTTTGTCCTGCCTTCTTCCACTCTCTTTTAAATTCCTCCCAACAATGTGGGTATTGATGACCATTTATTAACTGTAGAAGCTGATTCTCTTGCTGTGGAAGAAGATGCCCACAAATGATGTATATTACATAATCCAAATGCAGTTGATTGAAGTGATATAGGTAATCATGTTTTAGAACTTTCCAATGTGCTTCAATCATCACTGTAGGTATTTGTGGATGACATGAACAAGCCCAAAGAGAATACCTACCTTCAGAATACCAAGATGAAAACAGGTAAAGCCACAATGCTAGAAGACTGTGTAATCTGCAAAAATTGTAGACTTCTTTTGCTGAATTGTAGTGAATTTGATTGGGTGTCAAAGAACCACTACCTGCATCAGTTGGTATCAACAGATGTAGATTAAAATGTTTTTCTATCGGAGTTATGATGTAAGGATACAGGACAAAATATCAAATTACTTCCAGGCATTGGTCAAAATGTTGGATTAATAAAAGGTAATTTTTTCTTTAATATATGCAAACTTTTGTTGTTCCTTTTGCTTCGTAAATGAGTTAAAATGGCCCTTTTGATATGTCATAGACACAAACATGTTTGTGAGTTTCTCCACACTGCTTGTGCATAGCATTGATTTCAGCAAAGTCTTTATCAGTGAAAATAAACTTGGGGATTAGCCTTTGATTTCTAAGTGCTTGGAAGAATTCTATATAAGTAATTGTGTCTGAATGAATTCATTACTTCCTGTATTTTTACTTGTATCCATTAAACAATAAGCAAGCAGAAATCCAGTTCCATGGATCTCTCCACAACAATACCATACAATTCAAAGCAACCTTTAGCATCTTGTAAGTTGCATCCAAATGTACTTCTTTAATCTGTTGGGCATACTTTAGAATTGGTGTTGAAAAAGCAATGGCTACAATCTCTGAGGTATTTTTTTCCATAATAAGTTCACAATTTTGGCTTTGATATATGTTTTTGAGAAGATGAATTGCTGATTTTATTGGATCATCATCAAATTTATAGGCTGACTGAGTGCTCAAACTCCAACAAAAGCAAATCTGTTTCAGTGTAATATCTGACAAGTCATACTTTTTGGTGAGAGTTGTAATGGTTCCAAGTGTATGTTTTGCTGCATATCCATGCAGATGTTTTCAGGAATGCTATGAGAGTTTTCTGGATGTTCATGCAAATAATTGTGAGTTAGTATAATACATGCATAATTATGTACTAGATCTATGTGTATTTCACATTTAAAGCATATAATTCGTTTTTAGTTGGACTGTTTGTAATCTGCTAGACATTCACTCTGAGAGCAAAGATAATAAACAGTAGAAATTTTATTTCTTTCTTGTGTGTATTTATTTTCTTTCCAGAAACTTAAATAAATATATTAATATGTTAGCATCTTGTTGATGGAAATGTACAAATTGTATTTTGTCTAAAATTCTTACTTCCATTTATAGCCATCTTCTCTTTCAACAACAATTCAAAATTTTGTAGCAATGTCCTTTGGGTTTAAGAATCCATCAGCTTCAAGATTACTTGACATGAAATTTTGACGTGTTCCTTATCCACAACCATATCGTCATTAAGGCTAAGGTTATAAAATGTTCCTCATTAATATTCGTACTTTTTGTTTGTGAGTACTGAATTTATTTGCTCTTCAGATGAATTAATCAAAGGCGCATGTTGGATTTGATAAAGCATGTCTGCGAGCGAAGTTTCTGATGTTCTATTATTTTTGGTACTTTTTTTACTTCGTTGAGTTAAACACTTTTGACATGTCTTAAAATTCTCCCCCTTGACAAAAACTCACCGCTGTTTTTCTTAACATAACAAGATGAACACTTCAACATTTTGTGCAAAGCAACAGACGTGTACGCAAAGAACGCGTTATGTTTATTTATCTCTGTTGGTTAATAACTCACATTTTTTACAAAAGGTGATTTTTTCGTCAAAATTAACGTGTAAACTACAATACTGTTATACTGTCAAAAAATAAGTAAGTATTAGTATACTACCTGCAGAGAAAAGCTGGCAACTTGATATCAGTGCGAAATTATTAGAAATACAGTTCAATCAAATCCATTACTTAATATTAATATATACATAATAATAGTCGGAGAGTTCCTCTTTTTATCAAAATGACTGAATCTGTCAGCCATTGGACAAAGTAGATTTAGTTTTAGAACCATAAAATCGAATCTTCATAGCTTATTTGCCAAAGCGTATAAATACAAGGCAAATAAAATTAATCACGTGGAAATATCATCCGTTTTCCGCTTCCGAAACGGCCTCGTAGAGTCGGAAATTCCGCGTGCCAATTTCTGGAAATGATTTACGGTTCAGCTGTGTGAGCTGTCTCAGTTCTGGACTGAGTGTCTGAGTTCCGGACTGAGACAACTGAGTTCCGGACTGAGTGACTGGGTTCCTAACTGAGACAGGTCCCGAACTCAGACACAACAATACCGAATCATCGAGCGCCGTTGTTCCCACCAATCCAATTTTAAATATGACTGGTAGTCACTTAATATTAATGGATTTACAGGGGCATCCATTCGATTGCGTTCAGGCTTATCAAAGAAAACTGATGTGTGATCTGGTGTATCGCCTAGCAGATTCTGAGATTCATTGTTCAATAATAATTCTAATCGGTCGTATACTTGTTTCACTTTTGGCCGCTGCTTGGGAGTTTCATCCCAACATTCCGAATATAGTTCAAAATAAGCTTCAGGTGTTCCAGGAGCGCGAGGATCACGATATCCACGCAGTCTTTGACAAACAACTTGACCGCTGTTAGTACATCGTTCACAAGGTTTCTTTTGACTAGAAATCTCCCACAACACAACCCCAAGGCTGAATATATCTGACTCTTTTACAAATCTGTACTCTTGAGACATGAATGATTGGGGATCTTTGTACGGTTCAGCACCGCTTCCTATCGATGAAGATATGATGTGTCTCGATAGACCAAAGTCGGCGATTTTTACAATGCCATTCTTGATAAGAATATTGGAAGGCGTCTGTAAATTTAATACGCACGGTACTGTTAGCTTACAATCATTGAATAGATGGTAACCAATATATAGTTTACATTACCAGATCCTTGTGGATGATGTCGTGATCATGCATGTACTTCAAACCATTGGTGATTGCCAAGGCCAGTTTGTACTTATCACACCACGTTAGCCGATTAGAATGGTCTTCTAAGTACTTATGCAAGGGGCCGCCATCGGCGTATGCAAAAACCATGCAATAGTTACAATAGGCGTCGTCCTCACCTTCCTCTTTATCTTTATAATTAGAAATTAGAAATGCATAAGTCATGTACAAAGATCAAGATTATAATATATAACAATACAGATAACTTACATAAACCCAAAAATTCGATAATATTTGGATGGCCGTTTAACTTATGGTGGTTTTTCACCTAGTGGTAATTACATACTGATTACTTATATATGTATGTATATAATAAAACCTATATATGACAGTGGACGGCAAAAAAGTCAACACCAACCTCTTTTGCGAGCATTTTGTTTACTGTGCTCTTATCCTCGTACGGACGGCGACGCAGCTTTTTTATTGCGACATGCTCTCCAGAGATCTTAATTCTTGCCTTGTATATTATACCACATCCGCCAGCATCTATAGCCATTTGGCTCTTATCAATGTCGCTTTGCAAGTAACACTTAAGATCACCTTTTTGGATACGGTTTTCTATCTGTTTCTGGTGTTCATCGGGTCGAGTGTTTGCCATTGGAGTGAGAGTTCGTCACTTGCTTACAATTATGATCCTGTTGCATGTGAATTCTGACCGAAAACAACGCTGGTAAGTCCCGTATTTATGATCTTTTCTTTCTTATACGAATTCGCAGCCCGATAAAAAACCAATGCCAGAAATAGAAGTGCGGGCTGAAACAGGCTGATACACTAGCTGGGAACAAAACTTGATGCACATAACATGCATGTCGTACGGTTGGTCATCATAATTAATTGTCGTTGCAACTTTTTACTAGTTTTGGATCCAGCCTCGATTGTGCTTGCTTGTCTACATGATTTAGACAAAATTTTTCCAGGGAATCGTTATATTCGTGACATACATGACATGTTGCTTAATTACACAATCAGTGACGACGGCATTTACCGATGGATGTCGATAACGGCGTATTTAGTACTACACAACGAATTGTCCCGGACGTTTGTTTGACTGAGGCTATTAATATTATGATACTCAATTCCTGACAAATGCCGTCCACTTCATCAAACTCCAAGTTTAAGATCGAAAATTCTCATGTTCAGGGAATGGCATGGCGAATACCTACTGGACTACCGGATAAACGTAAATATGTTTCTTTGTTTCTCTTCTTTAGCCCATACTCTTGCAAGAAGTAGAAGTTGTAATAACGATGATTATGCAATCGGTTACAATGGCAGATCGCAACGATGGCATTTTCATAGGAAAAGGATATCTGTTATGGGGTAATACACTGACAGTAGCAGGATAGCATCGAGATAACAAATATCTAAATAGAAGTATCGTCCGAGGGGCAGATGTACAGCTCAGCTATTATTTGCGCAGTTGCCACTCGGTATGCCATCTATTCTCGCATCGCACAATCCCTCACCTCTTCCCAAAATACTGTCATTCAACAGTTGTGTCGCAGATGTAGGGATAAATACGGGATTAGGTTATCCTGTAGTATTACCTGACATTTAAAATATCGTCTTCTCTCGGTTGGTGTATCTTTTTGATTGATTAAGCATATCCATTAAATAAGACTTTTTTTCGCCCCTCATTTTGGGTTTGTTTAGGATGCTTGGAGAAAGTAACAGAGATTACTGCATATTGGATGGAGAAATATCTGGTTAGAAAAGAAGATTTGTGAAAGCAAAAGTCAAGCAAGCATCAAAATAAGCTAGCTTCTTTGGCACCTTTATATTCCGTCTACTAATTACGGGTTGCAATGACACAATACAATAGATATCATACCAGTTAACATGATAAGTAAATCCAGTTGTTGCGCATATATATGTGATAGAGTAAATGTTGATGACACTTACGGATATTAAGCACTGTATATGCGCCAACAATGTTTCACAATGCTGTTGATCAGCTCAATTTCATACGGCGCGGCATACACGTATGCCGTGTACAACCAAATCCTGTCAGCCGCAAAGTATTTAATATAAAATTTTAAGTTTACAAACCTTATTGTTATTATTTTTATTTCAATCACCGCATCTCCCCGTTCTTCCAGAATAGTTGATGAGATGGACGATTATAGTAATTTCGTTCCAGATATCCCACAATGAATGTTAATATCAGGTATCACAATAATCATAAGTGGCAAATATATCGATGAAAATACATTGGTAATGCCATCTTTGTTCGATATGGACTTCTATAATTGATGTTCTATCTGCCAGGTAATGATGATTTATGTATGTTTTGCCGTTCTATTTAATGGTAAGTTGGATATTGGAGTATGAAATTAATAACGATAGTACTTAATTTACTATCCAAATAGAAAAAAAAAAGGCTTTTAAAACGGCGAAATGATGTCATCTGTGTTCGAAATATGATGTAGATCATTTCACATCATTTATTGTGGCAGATTAAACACTACCACCATCAAAAAATTTCGCAGGTCATGTGTGACACAACTATATTCTGACCAACGAAAAACTTTGCAATATTTATGTTCACATGCTTTGCATTTCCCCATATGGACGAAGTTACAAACACCGCACCGAATCACTATTAGAGCACAAGTCAATTATACAAGTCGATATCGATTTATAGTAATAAATAACTCTCAATATCATCGAAAATTCGGGATCGTGCTTGTATAACTGACTTTAAATGCATCTTCCAATTATGCTAATAAATAGCATCATTGGAATTTAATTACACAGTGAAATTCACTTTAACGAAGTCTCACTTTAACGAAGATCGCTTTATAACGAAGTTTTTTCCAGAACGGATTCATATATTTTATATAAAAAGACAGTTCACTTAAGCGAACTTTCAGGTTAACGAAGCAAAATCGTGGAACGAATGTCTTCGTTAAAGTGAATTTCACTGTGTACAAAGAATTTGTCGTAATAGTAATCATTGTTAGCACATCAATGACAAGAAGATTTGCTGTAAATTTCACTAACATTGATAGCAAAGACGATTTCTTTGTTTTATTAATTTCTGCACAAAGAACTTTAACGTAAGTTATTTGTAACAAAGCCAACAGTCTTTGTCTAACAAATACACTAACATATCCTATTGTAGAATCTACTTCTACACATATTTAGGACAATTCGGAAATAGTAGACGATAACAATAATCGGGAGAAGCAAGAGGCAGAGGAAGGGCGAAGAAATTTTGAGATAATTGAACGGTATCTTAGAGAAATGCACGACATAGTTGTTGAACAGCGTGATTTAAATAATTTTCGATGGATTAACAATATTAAAAATAAGTTTAATACCATACAACAATCCTAGAACATGGAGAAATCACAGCCAAAATACATTATATTAGCATCGTTAATAAAAAGTTTAATGCAATCAATAGGAGTTTTGTGTTAACGTTTCACTATATAAAGTGCACGATGCTGGCTGCTGATAGGGTAATCTTCTCAAAGTGGAGAGTTCTCGTGTCCGGTTAGGACGAGAACATTTGTCAGTGTATAAGTATATAAGCTATAACGTACTACCGCACGGATTCGTAAGTGTCAATTATTATGCGCTTGCTTACGCGTAGGCTGTTCGCCAGTATCTAATATCCTTGTATTTATTTGACATTTATCATTATGTGCTTGCTTACGCGTAGGCTGTTCGCTACAATCGAATATTCTTACATTTATTCACACCATAAGCAAATCGAGTGTAGACCAGTCAGACAAACACCACTTACGTTGCGAAGAGAGGTATCCGCTACGTTCTTAAGAATATGACAACGCACTGAATAATCTCGAATGATAATGCGTTGCGTAACCGCATCCCATCACTGAAAATTAAGCAAATGACACATGAACATTGGGTAGAGGGGCCGAACGCTTCCGACTTTTATATTTACAATTTCCTTGCATTTCTCTCTATTAAACTATAGATAACAAGTATTAAGAAACATTACCCCATAATCGAACGTTGTAAATAGGTCACTTATAATAATCTACAAAATTCCATGAATTATATACTGAAAAATGTAGATATTGACAGAATAGAAAAAACCTGGGCCATCAGTGCAGTTACTGCTTCAAGATTCTGCCATTTTATTATCCTTCTTACTGACAGAACTCATATCTGCTCTTGTCTGGGACTTGTAAATCGTGCCGTCATTTCTTCCAAGTAATATTATGTTCACAAAAGATGGTACAAAATTCATAGCAATCCACAAGAAACACCCTATCATGTTGCCCACAAGATTTGATGAGGAAATTTCCCAACATCAGCGGAACTAGTTAAAAACGTAATATAATTGATTGATTTGTGTCTCTGCCAGACCTCCGAGAAGAAAGAAGAGAAAATATCAATGGGAAAACTGTATGGAGAACTGTGGGAAATAATTGCACGAGATGTTACACAAAAAGCTGTTCGATTTCGCGGGCGAGATATTCTCAAGAAATTGTAGGATCTGTTAACTGAAATGCAAGAAGTAAATAGTCAGGCCGACGAAACAGTACCACTGATAGCGATAGTAACTCACGTGAGGATGGAAAAGATAAAGAGAATGATCCATCAATTGATTGATTCCTAAAAACGCAAAGCAAAAAGACGTCCGAAAAGTTCCAAGCGAATCAAACGATCAAGCATCAAAACCAGTATGGTAATTATGAAAAGCGTGGGCATTACGTCCGGAAAAGAATTAGCTAGATTAGGCATTGTGTTTTCAATATTGCTATAACTTGGCAATAAAATTGGCCCATGTTGTTTAACTGATATAATTCGATTTTTCCAGTAATTCGATCGCAGACCCGATTTTTTAATATGATTGTTCTTCCTTAAGTATGTCTGTCGTTAATTCGATCTGTATGTTAATTCGACCGATGAGACTGTACATGATGTTAAAGTCATTTATCAATCGGCCATACCGGTTACATAATAGTTTGCACCTACTCAAGATGCATTGCACGACCATGCACAAAATTTTATAACCCTTTTTCAAAACCAAAACATTACATTAAAATTTAAGACACCATTATTAAAATTTTGACATGCAAGACTTTATCAGGTAGTGTATATTTTTTAATTTTATTTACGACCATCTATTAATTTTCTTAAGGCTAATTTGTGCTCTGGCATAACCTTGTTCAGCTGCCTTCTGATACAACTCAACTGCTTTTTGAATATTCTTTTCCACTCCTGTCCCGTTCATATAGCAAACACCAAGATTAAATTGTGCCCTGGCATATCCTTGATCAGCCGCCTTTTGATACAACTTGACTACTTTTTGAATATCCTTTTCCACTCCTGTCCCATGCTCGTAACAAACACCAAGGTTAAATTGTGCTCTGGCATGCCCTTGTTTAGCTGCTTTGTGATATAGCTCAACTGCTTTTTGAATACTTGTTTCTACTCCTGTCCCATTCTTGTAACAAGCACCAAGATTAAATTGTGCCCCAGCATATCCTTGTTCAGCTGCTTTCTGATACAGCTCAATTGCTTTTTGAATATTCTTTTCTATTCTCGTCCCATGTTCATAATAAACACCAAGGTTATACTGTGCCCTGGCATATCCTTGTTCAGCTGCTTTGTGATATA